CTGTAATGGGTACGGTTTGAATCAGTTATACTGAAAGTAATTCCAATGTGGTGATGGTATGAATACTTCACCACAAAGGAGGGCAAAACTTGCCCCAAGTACTTCTTTGTGCTGGCTTTAGAATGGAATGAACACGGTCTGGAAAATGGCTTGAATGTTTTGTTTTATCATTAAAAAAATAAAGAAAGCTTGTGCTTCTCAGGCTCACACTGCAGAGCCTTTAGGCATGCTTGGCTTGGTGCAGGGGTAGGGTTAATCCTGTATTTTCCCTGATGCTGAAGTATGAAAAACACCTACTTTCTTTCCCAAAAGATCCCTACTTTTGATATTAGCACTCACTCATATGCACTTTTCTTTTGGCATTTGACTAGAACGAATAAAAGTACCTTATTATCCCACATGTCGAGCAGTATAATTGTTGCACTTTCCCCATCCACCATCAGAGTTCTTTCATATGTGTCTTCTGGAAAGAAAAGCAGAAATGTTGGGAATACATTATTTTGCGGCATCATGTACATTACAAAAAATAAGTAGTTAAATACGTATAATTTGTTCACAACTCAAGTTATTGAGCCAAATTTTATGCTGGCTCACATTCAGTTCTTTCCTCATTTCCATCAGCACTGAACCTGCCCTCTGTTCATTACTGGTTGTCTTACTTTCCATGATATATGAAGGAGGCTGCAAGATCAGGAAACGAAATGTTCATTATTTTGGCTGATATTCTCCTTATCTTATGTCGGAGAGAGAAAATAGAACCAGTGGAAGAAATAACCAAAGGCTGAACATTTGCCCCATGGGAGCAGCAGAATCCAGCAAGGCTGAGTAATGGAAAATATTTGCTTTTGCTTTAGCAGGGACAGTTTACGGGTGAACAGTCACTGCTGCTGAGAGTAATACAGCTAACAGCCTACCAAGCAGTGAGGACAGGGTTTTGTGAGACAAGAGCTGTCGAGCTTTAGAGGCTGAGACTTCTGCTGCGTCCTAATTCTCTCCCATTTCACGGTTTCCCACATTACCTTTGATGTCAAAAAGCAAAGGAATCAACAAACCACAGAAGTTCAGTTGTTTTGTACTGAGGCCACAAAAATTCATACCTAGATTATAAATGCCATGTGACAAAAGTTCTGCTTAGATCTGGGGAGACAGATCTTCCCACTCATAATTTCGATCAGCCCTTGCTGTGAAATCTCAGTCTAGCTTCTGCTTCAAATACTAATCTTCCTTCTTTCCCCCAAACCTGGGGACATTTGGATTAGCAATATGGGGTTTGGACCCATCTCTAGTCTTGTGTTGCTGGTCAGGGAAAAAAGCCAGGCTTTGGGGTTCTGAGCAAACCACGCCTCTCACTGCAGTGTTTAAGGGCTCTGTCCCAGCCATGCTTGTAGATAGGACTGTCTTACCCTTGCCTCATGAAACTTCTGCTGGGCATTAATGCAGTGAACTTTCCCCTAAATTGTAATCAGAGCCTTTCCTTGAAGCCAGGAATCTACATCCATGCAAAAGAATGAGCCAAAAATATTACTCAATTTAAATAAAATCAGAAAGACCCCAGGCTTGACACAGCTTAAAATGGAGAGATTAAAAACACAAAGCTGATCAAGAGGAGCAGTTTCCCTTGCAGGCGCAATAGCGTGACATTTGTGTTTGCGAGTTAGATTGATCTTACAGTGAGTTGCAAAGCCAGTCCATAAAAGCAGCTGTATTCCCTCTGTGAGTTGGATACCCTGAAACCGTCCCCTCTTGTAATAGTATTTCCAGTTTGCAAGCTAAATTTTGGAGAATAGTTTCTTTGACTGATCGAGCATCTGTGTGGGAACAAGCTCCATATACACAAGAGGACAACATCCAGAGGACTGCTTCTCCATTCTGTTACACATGGAGAGGCTCCAAATACGTAACCACACTCCTTGAAAATATTATGCCCAAATGGTCATATTCAGCACTGATTTACACCTTGGTCAATCCTAAAGGACTTCCATAGGATATAAAACACACTGAAAGTGAGCAATTAGTTCATCTCGTGCTTATTTCAAAGCTGACACTAAAAAAGGAGAGAAATATAACAATAGAAAGTTTTCTGATACCTCAGAAGAGCTGGCCTTGGCTACACTCCAAGCAATATTGCTGGGAGTGCGAAGGAAAGAGGAAACCACACAGCTTTGCGTGGAGGAGAAGGAAGCCGTCTGACAAGGGTGTGCAAAGCAAATCAGCTGCCTTTTCTGATTGCTTGCCCAAGGGTCCTACTCGAGTTCCCTGGTGTAGCACTAGGAAACCTTTTATCAGAGATACTCCAGGCTGAGGAGCTGGTGGGATTATGGGAAAAGTCAGTGGTAGAAGCTGAAGGCAAAGCACACCTGAATAATTGATTCAGAGTAATTGCCCCATGGGGAACTTCAAATCCCCAAAGGTGCAAAGACCTGTGCCCCCTGTCTGTAAGAGCGAGCAAGGAAAATGTGGATCCAACCTTCCTGATGCTGGGCTGTATTGAATCCTGGGTAAAACCTCTCCTAATCAGAGAGGTAAAGACACAAAAAGCTGTCCTGCCCGTGCTTCACTGAGGGCTGGAAGAGAAGCCCAGAAACTCTCTGTGCTAGCACTGGCACCATCACACCAAGGGAGTATGGGAGAGGGAAGGGGTACGGGAAAGATGAGGAGAGTCCTGCACACTGGCGAGCAAAACCAGCTGGCAACCTGCATGTCCCCCAAAGGCGACAGCATCTGCCTCCTTAGAGCCACAGCAGATTTCTGTTGCAGCGCAACCCTTCCACATCAACATCTCGCACACAATATAGCTCAGGGCTTAAGGCCACAGCTTCACCTTCTGCATGATCTGACCTTTGGGATTAAAGAACATTGCACAACTCTAACTAAAGCAGGGGACAGTAGCGAGGGGGAAGCGTCAAAGAAAGCCCTGCAGCTTGGGCCTTTTCCCCCCATCTGGGCAATGGGAATTTTCCTACACTGATGAAGGACCTTCGTCTGTTTTTCCCCTGGGGGAACCCGTGCTGGGCAAGTAACATGAAATGAGGAGGAGATGTATTTTACTCAAACTCCATACAGCTTATGCTGAGGAAACGTGTTTATACAGAAAGGCTGAGATGACTTCTAATGGCAAATATTTTGGACATGATTGAAAGACTCAGGTTATTATTTCTAAGCATTTCATTCTCATAGACCACGAGGACCTTCAGTTATTTTCTCTCCCCCACAGAAAGCTGGAGTCAGCCCCGCAGAGCCAGTGGTGACAGAAATGTTGGACCAGCATGAAAGCTGAACCAGCCTCCTGTGTAGCATCATCACAGGCAGGAACGAGGCAGCTTCCAACAGGTATTTTGAAATGAAATAGCATGAGAATCTGAATTGCTCTCTTTTGGAGGCTTTTGATCGTTGTTAGTATCTTACTCATCTTATTTTGCTTTCTTGTTTCCTTAAGACAGATGCATGTGTTGAAATTGATGATCAGATCCAAATGTTTGTTACCTCAATTTTTGATTAAATGGCCTCTCTGATTTTCTGTGCCAATCACTACTGGCAGGGATGATTGCAAGCAAACACAAACACTCCAGGGCATAACAACCTACCTCCCAGCACCTCACAGTCGCTGTCGATGCTGTCATGCACCCCCGCAAAGATGTTGGCTAGCGAGGACTTGCCTACGCTGTGCTCCCCGATCAGCACCACCCGGTAGCAATTGCTGCCGGACTCAGAGGAGATGACGGAGTCGGATGACTCCGAGGACCAGCTCCTTCTGTAGTATTCATCGGGACTGATGGTGTATCGCTTCTGTGGGTTGTACTCATTGGAGTCTTTCTGGACCAGCAGATTCTTTCCATCAGCAGGGATGCTCCATCGCTGCTGCTGCTGCTGCAGGCTGCTGTTGTGGGTGCGACGCATGGTAACGTTGTTGAGGGTCATTTTTTACTCCTAGTGAGAAATAAGGAAACCACACGCGTTACCCACAAAACATTTAGAAGTGCATTAACGCCTCTTATTAACTTCAAGGCAGCACATCCTGCTCTTCTATAGGGATCTAGTATACAACAAAAGAAAAATAAGACTTTCTGCACTCTTTCATAGTTGCTGGTACACAAAAAAATATTTCTAGTTAGTACGTCAGAGGCTTTTTCCTAGGGATGATACCATCCTCACATGCAAAATCCTATCTTTGTTTAGCTGTGCTAGGTGCAGCCCAAACCTGGAGAGGGTGAGGCATGTCCCAGGAGGAGAAGGAAGGGGCAGCGTTCACCAGAGCTGTTCTGCATGGGAGCTGCATCCCTGCTGAGAGGCAGCCTACGGTACAGGCAGCACCTACAGGTACTGCTGCCCATCCTTCGTGCTTAACCCGGGGCAAACAGAGGCTCCGGTCCCCATTGCCTCTACCTCCCAGTGCAGCTGGGTGTACAGCATCTTTCACATTGTCTCAGTTAAAAGCTGAAACTTTTGGGAAAGCAATAAGGCATCACCCTTAGGCAATCCTGATACGAGAAAAGAGCCATGCAACAAAGTCTTGCTATGATGGGGTGGATATGGGTCTTGTCTATGGGGCCAGGTAAACAAAGAATGGCTCTGCTTCAGATACTGGCTTTTGGCTGGTAAAAGGGAGGTCACAGTCAAGTCCAACAGCTTTTCTGAGGAGGTAGAGGTTCTAGCGACTACAGGAGATAGCACTGGGAGAAAAAGCTCATAAATTTACAGATTTTAAATCAACAACTTCATTTACTGCACAATTGGCTAGATAGGTTAGCTATTCTATTAGCTAAGCATGGCTCTTAATTACATTTTACTCAGCAAACTCTATTTTCTCTTGCTTGGAGACAGAGGACAGTGATGTCATTCTCATGGGCCAACAGCTACCATTTTTAGGAAAGTTACTTTGACGTATTCCAGTTCCCAAAGTGACAGTTATTTAGACATTTTGGGTTTTGGCATATATCTGATGTTTCTCGGGCCTCTTTTCCATATTAGTTAAATAGGGTAACTGTCCATAAAATGCACCTGACCACTGTCAAACCTGAATGATAGGTGGTGAACAAAAAAGGCACAGAACCACATCAAAACTACATGTACAAATCGTTATTCCTCTTCACACAAAACTGCCTGAAAGCTTCTTAGAATAAATGCACAGCAGGACATAGAACAAATAGACAAAAAAAGCACACTCTATCTGAACTTATTACCGCATATGAAATATTTTCTTTGTGATGCGCAGTACTTAGTGGCAAAATGAGATCATTGCCTAGTCCTAGTCACAGTAACTTTGTCAGCAAGGAATATATCTAACTAGAAATCACACACCAAGCAAAGACTGCTTCACAAACAAAATGAAATAGTTACTGCAGTTGAACTTTAAAATGCATTTTTTCCTTGCTGAAAAGACCAGATGAGAAAAGCCAGCTCCGATTCAGTCAAACAACAGAGCCTAACTCACAACTTGCAATAAACAGCCATGCACTAAACAGTCGCAAACATGAACATTTTACAGTTTTGCCCCCAACAAATTATCATCCTTCATTAAGCAAAGCCAAAGGAGTCCCTGTCGCACATTGCGTTCCAAGTTCAAACTGGTTTTGATACCCCACACTGCATTTAGCTGCCTGGGTCTCTAGCAACGACAGTAAAAGACTGTGTCTGAACCAGGGCTGCCTTACTTCTGTCAGGCTCCTCCAGGCAGCTGGGTCCTTTGCTCGTGCTGCCCTTCTCTCTCGGTGGGGTGCGGTACACTGAGCTGCTTGGCCGAAGTAAATCCTCTCCTGCTTTGGGGCTGCCTCTTTAATTCTTTCTCAGCAAACCTGGTTTATATTAAGCCCATCTGATCAGAGACAGGGCTTTTCCGTGACGTGGTTGGCCTTTCCATACAACAGCCAGCCCCCAGCTGGGAGGAAGCAGACATGCAGAAGAGCAAAAACTTGCAAACAATCTCAAAAGACTTACTCAAAATCATATGATTGTCTTAATATTGCCAGTAAAGTAAACACACTTGGTTCTTGCATGATGAAAACAGGAAAGTGGAAAAAACCCAAATAATACATGTCATTTCACCTCACTCAGTTTTTCATTCAAACATTAACAAAATTAATGATGTTTAAAAAGGACATAAATTTAATTAATGCATGAAATCCTGTAAATATATTATGTTCTCTGTCTGCAAAATGTACTTTACCCCCTGCTGGACAAAACCTTTCTTTGGAATAAAATATCTGAATGTTATTTTGGAATTATCCCAAAAATAGGAATATTATTCTCTTTTTTAAAAAAAATAAAACCTAATATGTACAATCCTATTTTTCTCTGTCAGCCTCCAAGTGACTGCACCCAGTTTCCCGAACTGCATAATCAGCTCTCACTTCTACTGCCACCCTCTACTAACAGGGGCTTTAAAAAACATCCAACTACAAATTCAGTGTTACTCCAGCTGGATGGTGACAAAGATGCATCAGAATACACAAAGTCTGCACAAAGTCGGAGTAGCACAGTGCTGATTCCATCCGCAGTTCATTAGGAAAGACAAACATATAGTGCACATGCCACAAACCCAGGGTCCGCTCCTTAAATTTTTATAATCCCCTAACTCATTGGCAGAATAAATTTTACCAGAAGGAAAAATATATCCAAGCCTGTAATGTGCGCTGCTGGGTGACACTTCTAACAACACATGCAAAATACTTCTTGATTAACAGATAAAGAACTACTCAGTAGGGGTACCACAAGTTATATAAAAGCATATGGAAACTCTATAGTCAGGCTTCAATTATCCAGATTCTGGATTAACTATGATGAGCTCAAAATCAAGTTCTGACAGCTTTCCTTTATATTTACAATCTCCTAGTTACTCTATCAGCCCCTGAAACCAAGAGGTGACTAATTCTTACCCCGCACATAGGAAACCTGAACAACTTTGCTGCTGAGCAGGGGCAAGAATATATTTTTTTGTGTGCCCATTCTTCTCAGTTACAGGCAAGGAAGCCTTTAACTGACAACGCACCTTTATTAAAGGGAGCATTGATATGCAGAAAAGAATATCTATTGCTATGATTGCAGCCTAGCACTTATTTTACATTCCTCCACTGTAAAATTGCTTGGTTTTCCCCTGAAAAACCAGACCTTTATGAAATTCTTCAGCTGAAATCTGCTTACTTTGTTTCCCCTTTGGCTTTATTGCATTCCTGTGTCTTCCATGAGGATTTTCAGGGCCTTCCTGAGCCCATTCTCAAGTTTAAAGAGCCAAGAGCATTTCCCAAAGTAATATGCTCTCATCAATTTACATGGAAATTATTCAGGTCTACCGAGGGGTGAATCGGACAAAAAGATGTCCTGATTTTCCTTCACCTGCATTTCACTGCTTGGCAGCAGCTGAACTGGCCCCAAGTCCTGCATCTCCACTTCACCTGTCCCTTTCAGAGCAGGCTCCGAGTCTCTGCTGCTGTGCGATAATCCCAAAGAGCACCAAGTGGCACGTCCCTCTGCATAGGATGTACAGAGCGGCTGTTCATACTCACTGTACAAAATGCAACAACATCTCTGTTGGGGAAGGTTTATGGCATGGCCAGTGGTTTGCAAGAAGACTTTTGTTGTTGGCATGCTCAGCGCCCCTTCTGAAGTTGCTCATTTTTTGGAAACATGCTGGAAATCATGAAGGTGAGTGGGTGGCTGGAATGCTGTGCTCTGCACCTTGGCTTCACTTCTCTCTCTTTAAGTTGTCTGTAATTTGTCACCAAGAGTGAAAAAAACCAAAACCTGTCCACTGCAGAACTGGAGAGATTTATGGCCAGATTGATCTCAGCAGAACTGTATACTATCATCTACCGTGTAGACTATCATCTATCATCGTAGAAAGGACAGATAGCAGAAATAAACGAAAGTCAGAAAAGCCTTTATATTTAGTTATGGTTAGTGTTAGATCAGGAATTGCTAGACATCATCTTCCATATCCTCTTCATAAAATTCAAGGCAGACAAAGAAAACATGGCTCTTCATTGACCACACAATACATCTCTTCTATAAAGCCATCCATAAGGGTTGCCCCAAACATGGCTTGAAGCACTTGCACTTGGGAAACTTGCACGTGTGTTTTCCTTTGTACTGTCTCTTCTGAGTCTATTCTGGTTTTCCAAGTGGACAATTAACTCTCCAGATCCCATTCTGTACTACTGTCTGTCTCCACATGATGAAGAGCTCTTGTTCCTCAGGGAATGCCATCAGCACTCATGAATTTCAATCACTATATCTGTGGGGAAAACTTTCCCTTTTTTTTTTTTTTAAAGCTGGGGAGAGGTGCAGCATTTTCAGCCTCCTGGTACTTACTTACAAGGCAAAACAACACGAAACATATGAACTGAGCCCTTCTCAACAGGGCTGACTATAGGCTTGGATTTCCAAATACAATCTCACAGACTGATGGAGGCTGATTCAGTCCTTGACTGCTCAGCCCTGTTGCACTTTTCGCTGATTAACAGTGCTGCAACTCAACCTGCTTGAGACACAGGCACAAGAGGAGACAAACCATAAGGCCACATACTGTAGTAACACACGAGTGCTTGGATGTTACTGCCTGGTGCAATATTAAAACTCAGAGCGATTGCTTTTCACCCATCTTATCCATTCTCTGCTTCAATAATCATGTCTTAAAGGAATGCTCCTTGCAGCCAGGATGAAGTAAACATCACAGAGTAACAGCTCTGCAATTGTTCTCCAGCCAGTTACAACTGGACCAGGTGATGCCCAGAGCAATTAGGCAGGAATTTTCCATTGGATATAAAACAGCAGTGCTTTTTAGCTGACACTTAATTAGCCTTTCTGTATTTATGTATATGAAGGCAAAAGTAGTTCCTCAGATCACCTCCTGGCATGAGGGTCATGCGTAGAGAGGACCTGAATCAACTTGGAGGGGGAGGAAAATGCAAGGGGGAAAAACTCAAAAA